AAGAGGAGGGCATTTATGTAGGAGATAGGAAGGTCTCAGGGTAGCTTCTAAACAAATAAATTTCCTCCTTTCCAGGGCTAAATTCCTGCAAGAATACCAAAAAGTATGAGAAAGTACTGTATATCTGGCCCCAAGTGTTTCCTACATCTTTTCTCTCCTTTTCCAGCCTTGTGTTATTTAAAAGGAGATAGATATGGACAATACATCAGCGTCAATTTTTTTCTTTTTGAAGTCTGTTGACACTGTAGTTTTGGGGTTTTTTTCTGTGGATTTCATTTGACTTACATGGGGTAAATATGTCCATTCACCATTTCTAATCACACTCCCAAAGAACACTTATCTGGACAACGCTATTTGCATATAAAAGGCAGTTTCGGGTACAAAAGACAGAGGAGTTATTAAAAGTATTGCTTATGTTACGCCCAAAAATTTGTTAGCCATTTTAAAGATATACAATAAGATAGCTCTCTGCTGGGAATAATTGAAGGTCTCCTCAGATATCCAGGCTGTATTACTCACCGGAAATACAGAAATGGGTTTTCTATTTACTGTAGTAAAGCAACCTTGTCTATAAACTCCTTATTGCTGCAAACCAAAGGTGTGTGTCTGGGGAGGGCAAGGTTTTCCCCTTGAAGTTCCAGGACATGGAAATATAATCCTTTTTCAGAAACAGATGTTTGCAATAGAAAACTTTCACTCCACTCTCTTCTGTTTTTAATCTGCTCATGACAGGAAACACAGATTCAAAATGAATGTAAAGAACACAGTCACCATAACTGATGATAATACAAAAGAACACGTAGGAAAGATTTCTTTTTCCCAACATATTATAGGGAGAAAAGGTTTACAGATTTCAGAGAATTCTAGGTGTTTTTATTTCTCAGTGGCTACCAACACAGTGTTTTTCCATTAACTTCAGAGGATACAGCTCTCAGCAAGGCTTTGATACTACCAACAGTTTCAGCATACAAGAGACAGTACAACTCTTCTTCCTGCTCTCTGCTATATCTTCAGCACTTCCAAGTGACTGCCCTGCTAAAGCTTCACTGAACAGACAGATGTATAAAAAGGGCCAAAAGATTCTTCCATAGCATGTGTAAAATACAAAATGAAACAGGTAAGAGTAATTGATTCACCCTCTTCAGCCAGTCTTGCTGCTAACCTCTAGGCTCTCAAGAATTTTGAAGATGTGCTTTTTATACTACACCAAACTACACATCTCAAGTGAAGTTCTTTATGTATGACAGTGTGAAGGGTTTGACTGGGCTCTTTCCTGTGCTGTCTGGCTGCCTGTTCAAACTTCTCCTCTCACTCTTCTTCCCATCACAGCCTCCTTGGTCTCCCTTCTCCAGCTTGCCTAAATCCCCTTTCCTTGCTCTTTCATTCAAGTAGTACCCTGCTAACAACAACCTTCACTTGGAAAACAACAATATTTATATATTGATTTCTGCAAATTCATTTACCACACTTTGTGGCACTCTTTGATCTGTGTTCACTCATTTTTCAACTGAGAGCTATTTGGGGCAGGGGCTGTCATCTGGTGCGTGCTTGAGTAATGCACAGCACAAAGGCATCGTATTTTAGACAGTATCTGAGCAATGCTGTAGCAAACAATAACAATTATAGTTATAATTACCCCTCCCACAAGCTACATTAAAATACACGATCACTCAGAAAATGAGAAATGACAGCATCAACCTTGTGATGTAATTTAATTAATTTCCCTCTCTTCTTCTGTGTATGATGATACTGTCTCTAGCTATATCATAGTATACTATTTCTGCAAATGACTTGCTTCGTTGAGTATTGTTGATTTTTTTAAAACACTTTTATTATCCAAAATGGTGTCCAAATCTTTTCTTACCATATGATTTCCTGTCATAATCCCTTCACTGAATAAAAAGTTACTAACTTCCTTCTACATTTTTTGTTATTTTTATCAGAGGATGTGAATGATTCAAGAGTATTAGTGAAATTATTTTGGCAGTGCTGACTTGAAGAGGTGTTACTCTATCTTAAAGATGGGAGATAAAGTGCAAATACAGTAAGCATAAAATATAAATCTTACATGTTAAATTAACAGACATGTTCTAATATTTTATACTGTCCCATGTTTTTAGTGTATGGTACATTGGAAGCACAGTAACAAAAAAAATAGCTTTTAGCTAGGAGTGCACAGAATTTCTAATATTTTTTTCAGGTGAGGAACAAAAAATATTTTAGCACACTTGATTTTTCACAGCAGAAAGAAACAAAGCCAAGTTTTCAAAATTTATTCAGCTTCTTGAAAAATTCTTCCATTTTATGCTCTGCTGCTAAAACCCAAACTTCTAATTTCTGTGTTAGGTAAGACAAGAAGGCTGTGCATAAAATCTCTCTACACATCCCTAATTGATCCCTAGAAGCCTGTTCACACCACAGAATGTTACACGCTCCTATGTAAAGCACTGTCTCTTGAAGGCTTCATGAAAATAAAAGTTTTGTGGGCTGTAGCCCAGCTACAGAAGTCTTCCTACCTGGAAAAAAAAAATCACAGACTGTCTGTTCTGCTTCTAGGACTTCCTGCATCTTCACTAATTACTTAACTGTGCACGTACCTAGTGTTTTCTTAAATAATTTTACAGCTATCATATGTAGTTATTTCCCTGATTTTGCAAATATCTCCTTTTAAGCATGGAAACCCAAAGTGGACTTAGCAATTTCTGACTGGTACCCCAGTACTAAAAACTTGACTATATGAGCTACAGGACAGCATTAGAAATAGATTTACGTGTCCAACACAATCTCTAGATCTCTTGCAAAATCACCCTGTCCCATGGGACACATGCTGATCTGAAAGACTTGGTATAAAACTCGTTTTTAAGTCCACAGTCAGTTTGGTGATATTAAAACCAGTAAATTGCACTGGTGATATTTTGACTGAGTTCTGGTTTATCAAATTTTCTTAATTTGGGCTCTGTAGCAAATTCTTCACATCTCAGTAGTCATTAATGTATTCATAATGTGCATTGGAATAATAAGGGTAGGGGGAAAGTGTCTAGGAAAAATACATGAGAGAGGTCAGAGGTGTTCTGGAGCAGTGGGAGATTTCAGAGGACAATAAACACTAGCAGTGAATCCTTCTCCTCTCCTAACTTGCCTATCTCTCAGGATGCAAGCTGTCATCTCCTCTGGGATTCTCAAGCCAACCTCTTCCTCATCTCACTTGCCTTACACGTTCACACCACTCTCCTACTTGTGTTAAAGAGCTGTTGTAAATACTGTATTGATTGTTTTCTTTGGTTCGGGTTAAATAAAGATTAAAAGTAATAACACAGGCTCAGTTCTGGTTAAAGGGGAAAAAATCCGACTTTAATTCAACTTTTTACCTCAGTTTCAATTTGATTTTAAAACACGCTTTACTTTAATAGATTCCTATTATCTGTATGCTCATGATGTTTTAGTGTTATGTACGAGTCTGTCAGTATTTGTGTCAATAGCACATTTCAACATAAATTATACAGAATCTATTTCCAGATTACCAGCAGCAGTATTGAGCAGGAAAAAGCACAGCTTGCCATACAACTCTACTATAACAGGTACTTTTGAGGACCTGTCATCTGATCAGCCCTTTGCCATTTCATGTATGTTTATCAGAATTCTCTGTGATACTAAGTCAAAGGTATTACAAAAGTCTCAAAAGTACCACATTTCACTGTTCCATTTATTAACTCAAATTATAACAGCCTTGAAAACAAGCAATAATGCTTTTTCAGTAGTATTAACTTAATCTTCATTCTTTAGATTTTTTATTACTGAATTCTACATAGCTCTCTTCTTCATCATTTTGACTCAAACCAATGTTTACCTTACTGATTTATAACCACATTATAATATTGATATTTATTAGATGCTGAAAGCTTTCTCTCCGGTAAACTTACTTGAAAAATATTTTTGTTTTATTATCTGCAACTGAAAAATTGTCTGAACGTTTTCTTATCACATTACATCCATTTTCTTCGCAACTTTTTGAAGGGAAGTTTATATTCCATTTGTCTCCAGCATAGTGCTGTCCATGGCATCAGTTTAAGACAGCTCTACCTGCTCCATTTAGTCTCCGAATGAGAATAGCTGTAGTGGGGAGACAGGAGGTAGGGCAGCTGTCCATCCCCCACCATCAGGGGTACTGCCTAATGCTCCACTCAGAATCGTATCTTCAGCCTCACATCAGTGGAGCAGCCACAGGCTTTTGTCCAATCTTTTTTTGGTCTTAGAACCAGAAAATCTCCAAACATTCGATTTTTCAGCTTCTTCCCTGATGTTTCCCACACAGAGCTTCACGTCATTTTTGTCTAGTTATGTTCTCAAAAAGGGCTGACACATTTTTGCTGGAACACTGAATAAAAACATCAAAGATGAACATTACATATAGAAGCTTTCAGCTCAAATTATGAAAAATATTTATAGTGATGATGCAAATGACGAAAAAAATTATATATACGATTTTTGAGTTCAAGTTAAAGTACTTAAAAACTCAAAGTCAATTTTTTACAATTTGTACCAGAGCAGTGCCTGGGAAAGTAAATGAAGATTATGCTGTTAGGTACTAAGCACTCTTCATATATAGTTTTAAAATATAAAAATTGTTACTAACCAATGCACCAAAGTGAAAATAAATAAACAGTTATGTAAATTTAGAGGATTTAACTACTAAACCCAGATTTTAGAGCTGGGAACATTCCATAATATCCTCAGAGACAGGGTTGGAGTGGGCTACTGGAAATAATGACGGGTCCAATGCACAGTGCCACTGGTAACAGACCTACAAGTGCACCTTCTTTCCTGATGGCTGGTTTGTTTTCCCAGAGCCCGCAATAGCAGATTGCCACAATCACTGCCCCACATGTTTGCAGAAGAGCCTGGGTTCACACCACCTGAACACTGGTAACAAGTGTTTTGTTGTATTCCCAGAGCCCACAATAGCAGATTGCCACAATCACTGCCCCACGTTTGCAGAAGAGCCTGGGTTCACATCACCTGAACACTGGTAACAAGTGTTTTGTGGCTTCCCAGCCTGGGCATTGAACCGGGGAGAAATGAACTGGGGAGAAACCAGGCACCTTGTGCAGAGGAGCTGACAGGAGGGGTTGATGTACAACTTCTTCAGGACCTTGTCAAACCTCATTAGTAACTTCGGTGCTTCTTTGGTTCTGTTACCTGGCGCAACAGAAGAGACATGGCACAAAGACTGGATTTGGGGACATGCTGTGTCTGAGGTGCTGGACAATGAGATCTGCTTCTGCCTGGGCTTTTGGGCAGATAGCAGCTTTTGGGGGGGCCCTGCGGGGCTGACTTTAGTGAGTTTGACAGGCCGGGCAGATGCCACGCTGCCAATGTCCCCGTGGAAAAGCTGCCGTGGGCAAGGCCAGGCGGCCGCAAGGATGCAGGGATGGAGGAGGCCTCGGACGGGACGCGCTGCAGAAAGGCGCCGTTCCAAGGGCACCCTGCAGGCGATGCAGGAGCCATGGAAAGCGGGAAGCGATGACCTTCACTCCCACAAGTGCCCGTGTCCACGCCGAATCCAGCGCCGCCCCTTCCCGGTAACCGCGCCCCACCAGCGGCCGCTCCCGCAGCGCGCCTGCGGGACATGCGCGGACCCTGCCGCGCTCCTGCCCCCGTCCCTCCCCCCCGCCTCTTCCTTCCCGCCTTTGCCATGGCGACACCGAGTGGCCTGATCCGGGCCCTACACCGTGGGACGCTCGGCCAGGTAACCGGCCTGGGGCATCTCCCCCGTCGCTTCCCGATGTGCCCGGCCTGGGTCGAGCCCCGCGCTCCGGCCGCGGCCGCCATCCCGCCCCGCGCGGCGTGCGGGCTCCGCGCATGCGCAGAGCGGGGGGGCGCGGGGCGGGGCCGCGCCGGCTCCTGCCGCCCCTCAGGGAGCCGCGCTCCCGCCGTCATTCCCGCTTCTCCGCCCGTCATTCCCGCTTCCCGGCTCGTCCTTCCCGCTTCCCGGCTGGTCCTCGCTGGCTCCGCTCAGCCGCAGGGCCTTTGACTCCGCGGGGCGCTCGGGGAGCGGGAGAGAGGGAGGCCTGAGCCGGCAAGTGCCGGCGTCGTGGGGTGGTTCGGGCGCTGAGGTGGCGCTGGGGTTGTGCGAGGTTCCAGCGGTGGTCTTTGCTTCTTGCCTTTTGTTTTTAAGTGCACCTGTTGGCTACGAGCGCCTGTCTTCTGCAGCAGGAAGGAAAAAGCCAAACCTCATAAGTGCCTGAATGGATGCCTGTCAGCCCCTCCCCTTGGTGCTTACACGACCTCAGTGGGGTGTAGTGTTTGTATTTCTTTTAATACATTTGGAATTTTCATTGTTACCCATCAGGAGCCTTCCCCCCCTTCATTCCCCGCCCCCCCAATAATATTAGAAAATTGAAATAAAAGAGTAACTGATTGCTTTGATTGCAATTTGTAAGATAATTGCAAGCAATCGGCCAAGTCAGGTAGGTATATATGCAGTGTCGTCTTTGTAGGCAGCCTCCTTCATAGTTTTACATGTATGGATGGCTTGCCTTAGAAATCCAGATTTTTCTGTAGCTTGTAGCCTTGTTTTCAAAATGAGTGAAAGAATTTGATGATAGTAATACTAACATTGCATCAATTTAGAGAATGTTTCCTCTGGTTGGACAATTGGCTTTTTCATTAAAATCTTGATTTTGGCATGTCATCCAAATCCTGGATGGTATGGTATGTTTTAATAATGGAACACATTATTCAGAATGGTTGCCAGGGTAGATATGTCTCGAGTTACTTGTGAGAAGAAATAGGATAAGCAGAACATCAAAGATTCCTTTAGTTTTTAAATGGTGTAATCTGTATTGTCTGTGATTTTGCAGCAAGTGGGTTCTGTTACTCTCAGCCATGGAGTTGACATTTTGAGCACATCAAGCTGTAAAACATAGTAATGCACAAAAAGTTGGTGTGTGTGGTGGTGAACTGGGTAAACTACACATTGCAGGACTATTTCAGAACAAGGATTCTTTAAATTAAGAAGTCAAGATATATTTTATTGTGTTTTAGAACAGCTAATGACCTTGATTCTCCCCTTTCTATTGAGAAGGTAGAATGAAAGCAAAAGAGGAAGAACCTGTTATGCCATATGAGGCTTTGATAACTGATGCTTCACTTAGCAACTGTGTTCTTCCTGTTAGTTGTTAGTGTGAGGCAGAAGTAAGGTTTCTGCTTATATTTTTTGTTTCAGAATTCATTTATGTATAAGACTGCATTGAATTGTAACAATATAGAAGAGCTAAAGAACCTCAGTATGGCATCCTCAATAAGCTTTTGGATGTTTCCATATCTTGAGGTGCTTTGATTTAATTTCATTGACATGTGCCTAAATCTCCTTAGATTTCTAACAGTTAAAATTTGAACAGTTACACTGCCCCTGTAATATGCTGCAAAGCAGGTCTGGCAAAGATACCTCAAACCACTCATTATTTTTAGAACTCAAAAGTTCCTTGAAAAACACTGAAAGGATTTGAATATGCTAATCTTTCCTGATGCACATGGTGACTCTTTTGGCTCTGTTCAGTATCATAACAGATGCCCTCTCCTGCTTTCATTCCTCCAGCAAAGAAATATAATTTTTCTTTCATAATAAAGAAATCTGCTCTGACTGAACATGGCTCATGTTGTATTTTAATATTTACTCTGATGTGCATTTCTTTGCCACCTCTGAGTCACCTATCAGGTCAAAATTACTTACCAGGTGCTTTATCACCTGGTTGCTGTTGCCATGACGTCTTAAAGGTGTGATAGGTCTGAGAATGTGCTTCCTTCCTGTTATTCTTGAAATGTTTTAGAAAGAAAAAAAAAAAAAAAAGCACGAAGTTAGTGTTGGTTCACAGATTCACAGAATATTCCGAGTTGGATGGGACCCACAAGGATCATCTAGTTCAACTCTTAAGTAAAACCCTATATGGGGATTGAACCCTGGTGTTATTAGCACCCTGCTCTGACCAATTTTGTGTAGCTTCAGATCACCCACCCTCAAGCAACAACAGTAATTTAAGTTGTTCCTCTGGTTTTAAATTTGTGAGTCCAGTGTGTTGTGGGATTGTGTCACTTTTCTCTCTCACTTTAAGTGCCCTCTTATGTCTATCTGGAAAGAATTGCACTGGAATTGAAGTGGTACTCACACTGCACCTTCAAAAGAATTGAGGAGGAAAAATGGCTTCCTTAATTGTACTGTTCCTGTTGCAGAATGGACTCGGGAGTGGTTCAGGTACTGCAGTAGATAGTTTGGAGCAGATCATGTATTTGCTGCCTGCTGATGAGGAATATTCAAGTTTCAAGCTGGAAAAGTGTTTGCCTTCAAGCTTGAGCAGTGTCTACTGGTGCCCTTATAGTTTTGATGTTTAAGTGTTTGACAATACAGTCATAAGTTACCAGAAGACATAATTTATGTGATTTCAGCTTTGTTTCAGTGTAGTGCACAGCTCATCACTATGCTGGATTTACCATGCTGTGGAAAAGTTGCTCTGTACATTTCGTTGTGTATATTTCTAGCACACAAATTTGTAGGCGAGGCATAATAAATGTGGTTAAGAAGAAAGTAATGTTTTGTTGGAGAGATTAATTACATTTGGGGTATCTTGACTTTTAAGAGCTTATTTTCAAATTCCCTGGTTTGCTGTTCTTCAGTGCTCTCTAAGCCAGGGTTGTAGAAAGTGATTTCATCAAGTCTGTTTCTTTGATGAGACACTCTTAAAAATGGCAACTACAGGTACTCCAGGGAATTACTGATAACATCATGAGAAATCCAACTATGGCATAACCTGTCAGTAGGAAAATTTAATCGAAGGTGAGTCGGTCAGTTGTTGGTGTATGTCCTGATAAAACATGGACTAGGTTTAGTCCTGGCTGGCAAAGCAGAAGAGTGGCAAAGTCTTTTTTTAATGGTCTCATGCATCACTAGATGGCTTTCAAGATGCTCAGCTGGAAGAAGACATTTAGGTGTTATATGCCTTCAAGAAATCAGGAGTTTTGGCATCATTTTTCTTTTCTAATATCAAAGTAGCTATCACTATTACAGTTACTATAAGGATACTAATACTAATACTTGTAATGCTTTTCTTCCTGAGAATTTCTTTTAAAGAAAACAAGAACGTCTCATTTTGCTGCCTTTTCTCCTACCTTAGTGTTCCCCCTTGGCAGGAAAGCCTTGCCTGGCCTCCACACGTGATCTGTTACAGTGGCTGTATTATTGTTGCTGAGCTGTACATTTTGATGTTCTACAGCCTTCATCTCTTGTCAACTTTCACAGGAATGATGCATCAGAAAGTGGATTCTCTGTTAGTTTTATGTGGTACAGAACTGCATCTTCCAGCCATAAGGGTTGATGTTTTTTAACACACCATCCTTAGGAGTGTATCTGTCTCTTTACCTGAGTCAATATCTATTAAAAAATACCACAGTATTTTTTTAATGAATGTAGATTCTCTGGTTTGCTTTACAGTGACCAAAGGTGGTGCTAACATCGAGAGGCCTTTACTGCATCTTCCCCTGTGGTGGCAACCTAATGAGTCTCAAGGCCAGTTAGACTAATCTGGCATGCTTTGCTCTTAAAAGCATTTTAAAAAAATTTAATCCACATTTGCTGTTGTTTTCCTCTAGTTATCTTCTAGGGAATTGCAAAATATGGGTTTTTTTTCATTGAGTATTGATGCTAAGCAGACTACTTCACAGGCTGCTCCTCTTTTCCTGTATTTTTAAAGATAGGAATGCCATTTTTTCCTTTTTTTGGTCTTCTGATACTTTGCTGGGCCTTTGTGAACCTCAGTGATTCTTGCCAGTATTGTCAGTACTTTAGGAGGGGATCCAGTCTGGTGAAATTTGATTTACTTTTTTTTTTTTTTGAGGAAGTATTGTTCCATCTCTATTCAGGCCACCTGATCACTCTATTGTTACTGTGCTAGTCATGTTAATGACTGGTCATGTTTCATATTTTTTAACAAAGATGGCTGTGAAAAAGGCAGTTAGGTAAAAATTGAAGGGTTGTTTTGGAGAAGACCATTGAAATGCTTTTTCCCAGATTGCAAATAAAATCTTCAAAATTTTTAGCTATGGTTAGCATATGGGGCTCCAGAGAAAGGAAATAACAGAAATTACCATACCCTAATCCTTAAGGATTTCAAAGATTGTAGTTAAAACTACAGTGGGAGAAAGAGCTCAGTTTTCAGAATCATTCAGATATGTTATGAATGAAATGCAAACAATCTAAATACATCCATATTCCCATCTTGAATTTGTTGCTGTCCCATAGGGGTCACTTTGTTAACCATTAATGAAATGGGTCCCCAGGTGCATGTAACAAGCTGCACACATACACAGCTCACTGCAGCAGGTCAACTTCAGAATGCCCGTCCAGACACTTGTGTGCTGAAATTGATGGATGAGCAGGCCGATTTTTAAGTGCTTGCTCTCGATTTATGATTGTGACAGTCCCCTGTGTTGCATCTCTTTCTTCTAGAGAACGTAAAGGTTAGAAGCAGCAAAATGGTTTTGACTGAAGAAAAAAGGCTGGAAATGCAAATACCTGTTAGGCAGCAAAGATCCTGATGTTTCCTGGTGTCCAGTATGGGCTGCTTCAATATATTGTAATATACAGGACCTTTAGGAAAGATCTAAGTGATTTGAGAAATTCTTTCCAATTAAGGTAGCCTCTATGTGGATTTATTTGTAGAAATCGGTGCCTTTTTTTTTTAATTTCCTATTTTC